ATGCATCGATGAGATCGCGATGCGCACCGGTGGCCCCGCTCGGCCACGCTCTGCTTGTCCTTGCAAACGTGACTCGTTACGACGAGCTCCCCCCCCCTGCGTCGACCCCGTCACGCATTTTTCTCCCTCCTCCCCCGCCTTCAGCGGTTTGTCTTTTCCGATCGAGCACGATTAAAAGGACTCTCGTGGTCTTATTGTATTATTGTACCGGTTTTTCCTTCGTCCCCTCGAGGCTCTATCCTCGAATCATTCGCGAATGACGAATAACATTTGCATGAACGCGTTCCCTCCTAGATTAGAGATAGATAGATAGATAGATAGATACAGAGAGAGAGATAAATAGAGAGGAGAGAGAGAGAGGGGAGTATATTCGGAGCGTGCAAAGATGATATGATGCGTTTTCATGACGGAACAGTTCACTTCGAGATGGAAAAATAGAAAAAGATGTGTGGAAACGTGGTCCAATTCGGTATCCTTTCGCGCCTGTTTTCTTTTTCCTCGATTCTCAAATTCGAAGAGAGAGAGAGAGAGAGAGAGAGCGTGTTTTAAATCTTCGTGGCTCGTCCCGCAAGCCTGTTTTCCCTCGTTTAACGAGTTCGAACGTAACACCTCGGTAACCGATACTTTCGGGGAGAGGAACGAGTTGCTCGAGTAGCGGGTGTTTCGAAAGAAAAAAAAAAAGAAAAAGAAAGGGGAAAGAAAATTTCTTTTTATTAAAAAAAAAAAAAAGAAAAGAATGCTCGTTCGATTACGAATTTACGCGTGTTTTTTAAAGCGACATCCGGTGTTACACTAACGGCGAGCGTGCAATTTGCCAAGCCTTAACCACCGGTGTGGAAAGTGGCACGTTCGGGGGGACTAGGATAGTACCGAGCACCGGTGTGAATCTGGTACAAATATAAATATATCCTCCTCTCTCTCTTCAGAGAGAGAGAGAAAGAGAGAGAGAGAGAGAGAGGATTCTCGTAACCCGAAACCGCCCACATCCTTTGAGAAAGGCTCGCGACGACGAGGGGCCGGTTGCTCTTTGTTCAATTCTTGGTTCGATCCGCGCGCTTCTCCCTCCATTTCGACACGTCGATTCGAAAACAAACGCATCGACCGAAAGACGGGGCGGGGGGGAAGAGAAGGGGATCGAGATCGAGATGGAGATTTTCGACGCGCCACCGTGTATAAGATCCCGTGTCCGGTTGGTTCGTCTGTCCGTACATCTGCGAACTGGAGCACCAGCCTCCACGTCGATCACGATTCGCGGTTATCGAGGTACACCGCAAATTCGATCTCGAGCAGGTATCGTTTTTCACGGGGGAGCGGGGAGGAAGGGGGCGGTTGCGAAACGGATAAATTCGACGAGGCGCGTTGACATCCTGTAACCGACACCTTTTACCACGCACGCGAGAAGATATCCTTCTGAATTCCGTCGAATTATGAGTATAAATATTCTAGTTACAATTATCTGTTGATCAGATGAGAGACCTTAAGTCTCTTCTCTCTGTGGATGATGAATGCTTCTTCCATCGATATTTTAGTAACTCCAGTCGCTGGTGAGTCGCGAGAATAATCATTCGTTACATTCGCGAGATACACGAACAGTTCGAATCTTTGTAACGAGTACGAGTAATGAGCGGTATAACTGTTAAAATTTCTGCCCTAATTCGTTCCAAAGAAAAATGGAAGAATTATGTCTTGATGAGTCATATAGCAAACAACAATTAGGTTCTAAATAATCTTTTTATATAAATCATTTTTGTATTCCTTTCATTATAATTTGATAGTTTTATAATTATATTCTGTGAAATATCTTTCCAAATATTTATGAAGATCCTTCGTAAATAAATGTACAAGTATTTCCTCTTTTTTTTTTTTTTTGAATTCGAGGTTAATCGTGGGGTCGAAAGGTGGCAATGTGCAGGGAGGGTCGAACGATCCAGAAGCGAAGAATTTTCCTTTTTCAAAGGAGGGAGATTCTAGCTTGAAACAAGAAACAAGTGGTGTACGTTTGATCAAAATAATGCCAAATACGGGATCCAAGGATTAAAGAGGAAAAAATTGAAAATTTTATAACGAAACGACAGGGTGGAATTCGTGAGCAGGATACGACAGATACGTTGCCACGAGACATTTTTTTTTCCTCCGTGATGATCTCGGAAACTTTACACAGTTCCGGGTACGCGGAGGCCAAGTAGAGCGTGTTGTTACTCTCGCAAATTCCCCAACAACTTGCTACGATTTCCCTGGAGTGCAAGCGCGCACTACCATCCTTCTAAATCGTAGAAGCGATTCCGGTCGAACAACGTCTTACTCGTCTTCCTTTTATTCTTTTTATTTTCGTTTCAACCGAGGGGGAAGGGAGGGTCGTCTCGTTGCGTCTCTCCTCCTTCTTCCCCTATAAATTCTGACGCGTGGACGATCGTTAAAGCGTAAGGAGAAACGGGTTTTGTTGGCCCGTAGGAGGAAGCCCGGTAGAGGCTTCCATTACCGTTGTAAGACTACGGCTCAGGGCCGTATTACGCAAGAGGAGGTCCGACGAACTCGACCAAAACCGTGTTGCCGTCTCCTCCCCGTCGAATGGAATCCGGCCGACCCCCTCTCTCCGCTGCACCGCGCGTCCCCCTCCCCTTCCTCGAGAATCCAGCTCTCCAAGGATCGCATCGCCGCCCCGTACGAATCGCTATTTCACGCGGCTTCCACGCTGTCTGGAAAAGACTATTGCGCGAGACACGAACAATTTCATCTCCAATTTCGCGTATACAATTCCCCCCCTCCTCTCCCTTGGTACATCTTGATACGATTTCTTCGTTTCTAAATTTTCTAACGCAGATGCTTCGTAGATTTCCTCGTGCTCGAACGAAACGAAACGAAACGAAACGAAACGAAACCACGTGCGTGTCGGTTTGGAAGTGAAAGCGTGGTAGGAGAGGGGAGAGAGGGGGTATTACGAAGCGCGTTAATCGGGCTGATCGATGCGCCATCACCATCACTACCATCGCCAGCGCTCCATCCGATTGTGTTAATCGCGCACGAGGATGAGAGGTGTCGTGACGTAACTGGGCCGCGATTAATGATGCCATTCGTTGGAACAATGGACGGAAGGCGGCCGCGATGCCGAAGCGCGCGAGGGGGCGAACAATCGCGTAAAGGAAAACCGAGATAGCCGTGGCGAGAGCAGCGAAAGCGAAGGAAACAAAAAAAGAATAGAGAAACATATATATATATATATAAACATACACACATATATATATATATCAGTCTGGTCGGTTCGTTTCCCGGACACTGCAGTTTGCGTTTCCCTTTGCGCTTTACGCCCACGGTCCATCCTGTCACTTTTTCTCTTCCCCGCCTCTTTCCTTGTCCCTCCAACAGTCGAACGGCGTTAACGTTTCCCGAATGCTCGACGC